AAGCAAGTGCAAGTCCTTCCCTGGTGCTATAATTGAACTGGTATTCCCCTTGTTAGCTCGGGGAAGGGGAAGGAAAGAATTTAAAAGACACCAACAGCGAGATACTTGGTGATTCGTGCTTAGAGTAAACTCCTTCTATCTCAAACGAAAGAGAGTAATTCTGTGAACTCATTGTCTAAAGAAAAATTTCCCCGCTGTTCTGTTCTTAACTTATTCTTGACGTTACAAACAGTTTCGAGTGAACATTCAAGACTGTCATTGATCGCTTTTGGCAGACTGATTTTTGTTTAGCAGAGTGAAACTGAATATAGACGTATGATGACGACTGTCTCAAGTGTGTATTGTGTATAACTATTTTCTGAGAGTTAAAGGAATATTGGTTAACTGTTTTTGTTTTGTTTTGTTTTTTAACACTGAGTGACAGTAAAAATCTACAGCTATCAATCCTGATCTTAGTGAAACAGGTTCGAGTCTCTCTCATAACTGAAGGGCGATTACGTATCTGAAAGCAGCCGGAGGCCAAGCGACAATATGCTCACGTAAGCAAGGCACGTAGTTCCGGAATCTATGAAAACCTATCTATATTTCTACATTTATTAGCGAAAAGTGACTGCAATAATTAAATCGGCTGGTTTGACCTAGGTCTTGTTTTGAAGTTGCCCTGATTACGGAATGAAACTTTGCAAAAAGCGAAGACGTTATTCAGTTCAATACTGAAGTTCAAAACCATCTTAACGATTCCTTTTATCCTGCCATCAGTCATCACCATAATAACAAAACGAAAAAAATTAAGCAAATTAAAAATTTCCCCAGCAGGTCGCGCCCTCGGCGATCGCTTTGTCTACTCCACGCATTATGCATGCTACACCCCTGAAAGACCAATTGTAGATAGCTATGGACTTCGATATATAACGAACTCAGTTTGTCGTTCGAGGTTGTTACGATCTAATGTAAAGATATTCAGTAAAACATCACTACAGGCAAAACCGAGCCATGATAGCAAATTCCATGGCCCCCTCCAAAGTTATGCCTACTAATGAAATTTATTTCCGTTTTCAAAATAGTTTAATATACTAGCCGGACAGAATTTAGATGAAGAGCTTCGCCGTCAAAGTAAAGTATTCAGCGAAAATTAAGACAATGATTAGTTTTAGCTGGCGAAGACTGACAAACGTTAGGTGACGTGTCAGCGATTTCTACTTCTCAAGCTGCCTCCAATAGCTTCCGCTCCAAATTAAATTAAAATTACTTCTCTTTTATTAGACATTGTAATTCCGTACGCGCGTTTCGTTGTGAGTCGTAAAACGTAAAAACGCACAGGAGAAAGATTGAACTACGTAGACAGACAGGATTTGAACGCACGGCTTATGTTGGTTACGTTCGACGACATTACAAAAGCTTAGATGTTGAAGGCCGTAATTTAAGAAATGCTAGCACACAAGTTTGAGTTCATTTCACAGGCACCACTCTTTCACGAACTGTTGCTGTATGCTTTGATTATTTTATAGCCAAATATATTTTACCTTACACGTAGTCATAAATTACTTAGAGTCTACTTACACACAACTGGAATGACGAAGAACTTTCTGTCCGTTTTAGCTTCTTCTTTCCGCTGTTGTTTTCACTTTCTGTCTGTCTCAGGCCAGCAGTGTAACGCGGCCTACTCCTTTATAACCAAATTTGCGTCTGCCTCATTTCCACAATCTAATCGGTTACTAAGTTGCAGCCGAAACAAGTATCAAGTTATTGTTCATCTTTTTAGAAAGGTTGGGTGCGAATTCTTCAAATAAATGACCCTCTCCTCAGGAGCTTTTGATATCCTCTTAAACAGTCACTGAATCCGGGTATTTCCCGGGTTTGATGTTATCAGCTGGTTTTCGTGATTTTATCACGTTTTATTTTTATAACTCTTCGTACAGCTGCCCGGATCGATTGAAAGGTGATAAAGTTTTATTTTTGTTTTTTCACCTTCCATGTATCTGTCAATAACATCTTTTAACATGAATTGTGTCTTCTGCAGGGCTGGCGGGTTTACGATACTCATAATCAACTAGCTTCAATTCCAGGAATCATTTTATTTATACAAAATCATCGATTTATCTTCCGTACTATACGTTTTGAAACTACAAAGAGGGATTTTAGGCTAACATCAGTTTGATTTCTCTCATGACATTGTCGGGCAGACGTCGACAAGTGACAGGTGAAGCAAGATCGAAAATCATAAATTCCATGAACTATGGCGGTCATGTTGTATAGCCAAATTCCCAGAAGTAACCACTAAAAAACTTTACGGCATCAGAAAGGAGAAGTAACGTTCTGATCTTAATTAGCGTGCACTGAAGAAAACATTCGTGTATTTCAACGGTGCACACAGTTTTCTTGTTCAGTTGCTTTCAGTGCTTACTTAAATGCAAAAAATAAATGGGTTTGTTGAAAGATGTATAGTTTCAAAGACACCGGATTCATTTAGTAGAATTAAACGGATTACACTTAAATCGTGTCAATTTTCATTGACCTAGTTGATATGCAGCAAGTAGATTACTGAAAGCTCCAATTCTAAAAGTAAAATAAATATATCCATAGTTTTATATAACGTATAGACTTAATCGGACAGGACTGTTTTCCTAGCTTCTGCTCCACCGCTTGCCTTTACAGTGTAGCGTTTCCGTACTGCAGCGAGCGAATGAAAAGGCGCGGTGGACTTGACGGGGGGAGGGGTGGGGGGTAGGGGACAAGTTGCTAAAAATGGACGGCTGCCTTCCTTGAAGAAAGAGAGGAAGATATCGGCTATTCGAAATTTTTTTAGGTCACCAAGCAGCAATTTTTCTCAGCTGTGTAACAGCGAAGGGAATTACTTTCCTTTCCTGAACAATCCACGAGGAGAACTCAAGGTCACTCATTGCAGCATGCTATCTGTTCTAGAATGGGACAAACACCAGGGTGACACTGGATGGGTCACGGAATAAATGACAGTTGTCAGTTACGAGTTCACGCCATTTCTATCTGTTATCAGTTATTACACTGATGTTAGCTATCATGGCGCCATAAACTGATTTGTAAGTTAGGAAAGGTATTCGAAAAATTTTAATATGTAATCTCTAGCCCGCTAGCTACAAAACGCTGTCATCCTATCAAGTCTATCAAGTTTGTCTATCTCGCAAAATCTAAACAGAGATGGAGGTAGTCATCACGAACCACAGTCAGATCGGAAGAAAATGTTCAAGACTCTTTCTTATAACATGTCATTTAACAAAGCCGGTGGTTCATTTCAGCCCCGTCAGGTAAATGACTTGATGATGGAGAATAGCCCATATTAGGATCTATTGGTGTTCTCGGTACTGGACTGGAACTAGCCTGCAACTGAGGCTATTGAGTGGTGCCCATCTTTTTTTAATGGTATTCCCCTGTATTCCGAAGCCCCCCGTTCCAAGCTAGTGTAGTTCCGATCCAATACCGAGAATACGATAATGGGCTATTCATTTTTTTTCCCGCTCCATCCAACTTCAAGAGAAAAGGCCTGGAAGCGTGGTAGTCCAATTTTGCCCAAAAACAGCGTAGAGACATGTTTATTGATTGCTTATTAATATTCCATGAATTGGCCCTTGAAACTTTTTATTCTGACCCGCAATTTCGTAAGCAACGGTCACTGTTCGCCGTAATAAAAGGCCATATTTAACCTTTTGTTTTCGACCGCTTCAATGTATATCGGGCCTTAACTTGATTCTGGCTTATAGCTTGACTCCTGGTGTTAATTGATGGATTCTGGTGGAAATTCTCACGACGCGGTAATCGTTTCTTTTGAGGTTTTAAATCGAAGAAAAAAAATTAAATTCGTCGTATTTGATAGATATTACGTGACTACTATACAAAACTGCTAGCCGTGAGTAGTAAGAAACTTTAACACCGGCACCCTGTATTTTCATGGTGTTTTTATTTATATAACTAGCTGCCCAAAACAGGTGCTTTAGGCCAGCAGGGTTTCAGTTGCATGCAAGGAAAACCCCGGGAAAAATTAGTTACGACGTTAAGAATTTCGTATGCCGCGATCAAAGTCATTATGTGTTAAGTTTTACGCAGTTTTTAAATGATTCCACTCACTTTTTCTAAACATCATTCAAGCATTTTTCTTAGCTACTCGGTTTTCTCCTCAGAAAACGTAAACAGTAAGCGGCCTCTGTCATTGGTCCATACATATTTAAATAACACATTTTCAGTTAACACCACGCGTGTAGCAGTTGTTTTATATTCACTTGTACAAATATTGGTGTGGCATCTTGTACTTTCAACGCGTGGTAAATTCGCGTGAGACAATTCTTCTTCATCAATTTCGTGTTCTGTTTCAAAAACGTTTTGTTATTCCAGTGAGTTGACAGATTGTTTGATTATTTAAGCAGGTCGGCTAATCCCAAATACGATAATCGTTGCATGGTATTTCTAGTGCCTCAACTATTAACAGGTATGTATCTAGGTTTTTAGCATTCCATGTGATTTTTTATGGCTGTCACGGAAGATGTTCAAAGTTCAACGCCGGTAAATGAAAACTTGAATTGAATAGTTTTAGCAATTGCTGTAGAGCCTGACAGTGCCTCTAAATTATTGTTGCTTGTTTTTAAAAATAACTGTTTTCTTTGTTTGGTCATAGGGCGATATGAGTTTACAGTTTAGATGTTATTGTTTATTTAAGCGTCGTGTTCAGATAAGACGTTAAAAGGATTTAAAATTTGTAATACTTAAAATATTTTTACTTTAAAACTCACTGTCCATAATGGTTAAATATAATGATTAAACGTTTCGCTGGATTTACAACAATTACTGCATAACAATTAGAACGGTATCAATAAATTAAACCGCGAAAAAAAACTCTTCAACCAAATTCAGTGATTCACAAACACAAAGTTTTTGCCAGTCTACATTTTCTGGGTACCAGTTCTAGAATGAAGCATTTTCGCGCCATTTCTTTCACGTCAATATCATCTTTATCCCAACTTGTGCGATAAAAACTGTAATGATATTCTTGTAAATAACAATTAACATCTTTCTCACGCGTGCATTTGCATTCAAGCTGTCATTCACTTATAACAAGACCGCTAACCTTTCAATGGCTTTTGAATTTTCACGACCCTGATTGGTTCTTGAAACAAAAACCATTTGACTTTGCTCGCCCTGTGGGCAGACTGAAATGAATTAGTTTCCGTTTATTGTGCGGCGCGGATCATGATTCGGCGCGTTGTCTCATAAACTGCGAACTTATTTAAATTTTAACGGAATACCGAGCGAGTGTAACCGACTCCAGGACAAAAGTGCTTCTCGTGGCGGGGCAATTGAACTTTCTGAAACTTGTTTTTTTGAGTAATCGAGCCTTTTTAAAGAGGCGTGCGTGAGAAAGTGCGTAAGGTAGGAAAGTTGGTTTGAGGTAAATATTTGAAATACGTTGATCAGGTGTTAACAGTAAATTCGCTTTTTATCCTGTTTAGCACAGTGTAAAATTAACTCCATTGCGCAAGCAGGATGTCGGATGATGATTCTCACGTAATTTCGGATGGAGCCTTCCCAAACGGTCTTTACTCTACTGCTATCGATGATTTCTCTCCTGATACAGAAATTGCCAAGCTTCAAAAAGAGAATGGCAGGATAAAGGTAATGGCTTTGTATTTTGACAGCTCTGGTCAAAGAACCCAATATAATAAAAAAACAACAACAATGCGGCCATAAAGAAAAGAGAGCTTGAAGTCTTGGAAATTTTTGCCTACGAGATCTAGCTCAGGCTTTGTTTGATGCAAAATTGATACCAAGCTTTATTTTCATTAATAAAAATATGGTTGTCATTTTTATGTAGTATCTAAGGAAGAAGTCTCTCGAGTTTTTAGTACATTTTGAGTGTGAGTTCTTCATGGAGGGGAGATTTGTTGAACGAGCTGAGGATGACATCTCGCTTCCCCTGAATGAAGGGTCGTTATAACAAGGTTTTGATGATAGCTACTTCTCTTTGACAAATTGAATGCTTTTTGAACTGAACAATAACCTTGCATCCTTTGTCTTTGATTTTCCTTTGCCGTCTAATTTGTTCACAACTATTTAATGTTTAGGTAAAGTTTCCAATGTTTACTCTATAATTCAACTTGAAAGTTCATATAAATCATATGTCAACTTTCAGGGCATATTTTTATATGAATAACGACCATAAATAAGCGATAACTCCTCATAAGGGATTAAATCTCTAAAGCGAAATCTTGTTTTAATTCAATATGAAATCCAAACGTCACTCAGTTGATTCGTCATTAAAACTTTAAGATTGCCGCTGTCTTTATTTTTCGTTCTTAAAACAAATTCAAACATTAAGGACTTCAGTCAAGTGTAACCTCTTGTGTTATGGAAAACAAAGAAAGCCAAATAACAATGCAGGGTTTCAATTTGCATATCGCGGGAACTGTCATGCATGCATAACGGTATCTGCCCTCGTATAACAAGTTGCTGAACCTTGAAATGGGTTCTTTCAGATATTTAGTATCTGTGGTTATTAGCTTAGAAACTGTGGAATAATTCTCTAACAACCTGAGGTGAGTGAAAGAATAACCTGATCAAGTAGGTCGTAAACCTTGTTAGTTTTCAGACAGCTGTTGTGGCCCTTTTGTTTTCTCTAAGTGATCAACTCTTGATTCGAAATTTTGAACAACACGAAGCATAGGAGGCCTTGTATTTGCTGCTTGAAAATTCAACTTTTCACTCTCTGGTCAAGAAAAGCTTTTTGTCCCTGTTACATTTCAACTATTTGATTTCAATGTTTCGCTTTTTGCACCACAATCGCGGTAAGTTATAAATGTCTTTATTAGTATGCAAAAATGATTAATGAGTAATTTAGTTTACTCCGGTTTGCTCTTTTACTGAATTCCAGGCGAGTGCACATTTAATGGAAACGTTGCAAAGAAATTCTGTTACGTCGTGAGACCCGCGTTTATTACTCTTTTTATAACCACTGAGCTACTCTTATCGTCCGTTTCTCACGTGAAGATCTGGAAGGGAAATAGTAACACAACCGGTTAACGAGGTCTTCTAACTAGGTAATGATTATGTTAGCCCTCCGGTTATTAGTTTGCACAATACCATTCTATTAATGCACGCTGATCGCATTCTCTCTTTCAAGACCACTCTAACTAGCGGTGACGTCCTGCAAGACGGACCTCGCGCCTCATGTGGAGCTCATTATAACTCTAACGTTGGAGGGGTTTTACCAGAGAGAGCGAGCAAGCGCTGTCTGCAAGTCAGTTTGTAAAGACCGCTGTTAGAACGACGGATATCTTTAAGTCGCCTTACCTCTAGACAATATTTACTCGCATGCATCTAATATCTGAGTGTATTTTTTGGTCTTGTTTTGTTTAAGGAATATTCAAGACGAATCAGTGAAGAAAATATGAGGTGGGTATACACCGGGCAGGTTACATGATGCACATCTTCAACTGATACGGGTTAAAAGGTTGTTGCGCATAACCACCCGTGATGCACACCGCGGCAACATGTTGCGCAAAGTTGAGTCCATGCCTAGCGAGTTGTCACAACGTTCATCTTGGGTGACAATACAAAATCATGGCCTTGAATGGTAATACGCGTGAGATTGAGAACAATTTTCAACTTTTATTACGACAGAGTGAAATTTTCACGCATACTTGGGATTAATTTGTGCACTGTTATTTTTATTTACTTCGCTTCGTGATGCTAACAAGCAAATTCTCTTTACCAGCTTCAGTTCATCACTTTACTTTAGTTTCAGTAGCAAAAAATATTTCCCCCAGGTTATCAACTCCTTTCTCGTGAACTATATTTCTGATATTGTATGAGATGTTTTTAAGGAGTAATTCGTCGCCGGATCATTCTTATTTTAACTCAGCATGATATGTGCCGGTCGCTCCGTAACTAGATAATATATATATATATTTTTTATAATTTCAGTTCTCCAACACATTACCAGAACGGTAACGGTGTGAAAGAACAGCTCTTAGAGGCGATGAAAAACCGTGACAATGCCGAACGAGAAATCAAAGCCCTTAAAATGCAGCTTAACATGGCGGAGGAGACACGTGACAGTGCGCGAAGGGATCTGATGGACTCACATCGGAAAATGCGAGAGTGCGAGGAAGCTAAGGAGACTCAACGAAAAGAAAACTTGGCACTCAGGAGACAAATCAAAGACGAACAAATTGAAAAGGGTTCTCTTCAAAAAACTTGCGATGAGCTGAGAGAGAAAGTGAAACAGACAGAGAGCGAGAGAGCTGAAACGAGGCGCGCCCTTGATGATCTTGAAAACAAGTTCCGAGTGTGCGACGACAGCCGCGCGAGCATCACCGGCGAGGCAAACGATCTTCGTAGCCGACTGAACGAGCTTGAAGCGGAGCGAGCCGAGATCAGGCGAGAACTACAAGAGGCGTTGCGTCAGGTGAAGATTCTGAGCAGCGAGTGCTTGCTCGGAAAAAGAGAAGTGTCTGATCTACAAGAAAGGTTAGCACACGAGGAAGCTTTGCGAGAGGAGGCTCGGCACGAGGCGTACAACTTGAAGCAAAACATACTGCATGTTGATAGCGAGAAGGAGGAAGCAAAGCAAAATGCAGCTAAACTGCAACGGAGGTAAGAATTTACCACACAAAAGAGAATCGGTTTAATCCGCAATATTAGACAGAAATGGCAGGTGTTAAAGCCACGCAATCTACACCCCCACGACCATCTCAACAGGACCTATTGCCGTAGTAGATCTGTTTTGGCTGCGGGTCCGGTACACTTTTGCTAAAGTAATTTTCCTGGCACTGCGATATCTGATGGTTGGTACCAATGGCAGCATGTGACAATTTCTTTTTTTACCACAGTTGCTGCTAATCTCGCAATCTGATTGGCTAATTTGCCGTTGTCGATAAGAGTCGAGACTACGCTGCTCGCGTCAATGTGTCGCGCGATGCCTTTTTCAGCTCGCGCTCTAAAAAAAAACCATTTTCTTTGACGTTGATATTGTGGTAAAAAACAAATCGAAATGTGGTTTAGAGTGGTCTGTACTCTTATCGACAACGATACGCGTCATTAAAGTGGTCAAAATTCGTTGTGGACTCACTCGGCTGCGCCTTGTGAGTCCACTACATTTTGACCACTGTGATGACGCGTATCCTTGTCGACATGAGAACAGACCACGCTAAACCACATTCGATTTGTTAAGTTGCTCCAAAGCACCATCAGTTTGATTGTACAGTACATTTATATTTGTTTGCTCGATATTTCCAACCAACAAGTCATACGTTATAGCCTTTCATAGCATTCACCCTCGCCAGTCTTATCAAAGTACTTCTATTTGCAATTTTTCCAAAGTTCAAGCTGCGTTTTGTATTTCAGCTGAAAACTAACTAATAGCAACTGCAATCTTTGAAAAATCCTTCAATTTTACTTGTATTCCTACAGGATCAAAGAAGTTGAAGACACGTTTGCCAGCCGCGAGAAAGACTATCAAGCTCAATTGGAAGAATTCCAGCAATTCGAGCAAAAGGCGAAAAACAAGATACGAGAAATGGAGAGCCTCTTGGAACAAACAACATTCGACAGGGAAAATTACAAAGCTCAATTATCTGGGAATGATGGAAGAATCAGTGCTCTGGAATCTCAAATCGCTCGAATTGAAGCTGCGAAGAACGATTCCGAATTTAAGCTGTCAAGCCTTTACTCAATTCTTCGCCGATCTCTAGGCTTACGATCGCAGTCCCGACCTCCGACTCCAAACGAAGGTAGTCCGAAAAAAAACCGTCGCTCTTTCCGAGGACGATCGCGATCGAGTTCAGGTAAACACAGTTCGGATTTTACATGCATGACCTTATTACCGTAAAGGATAGAATATTTAAAATACTTAGTTGGCTGACTTGCAACTTAACGCAACGCTCAATGGAATTGTTGTATCTTAACCTGAGAAAATATTTACCAAAAGCAAGAGATCCGCAGTGATCCTCTGATCCTTAATGGGAGAGCATCCCACCAAGGAAGTGTCAATATCTTGTTAATTAATGCTCCTAATCGGTTCATTTTCGATACCTTAGATTAGCGTAGGCCCGCGGTGAGCCACTTAGCTTCAGGAAAGTTGCCTGAGACATCATATCAACAAATCAGACCTAACTTCTTTATGGCTTGTTGTTGTTGTTGCTGTTGTTGTAGAAGACTCCTCGGACGACATAGATCCAGACGCTGTAAAATCATCTTTATCAGAGCTGCTACAAAACGTGAAGGAATCAGAAAGAAAGAAGGAGGAGAGTTTAGTGAAAGTGGACAGCTTACAGAGTGCTGTGGCTCATTCGGAGGAAGAAAGAGCAGCGTTAGACGGAAAACTCCGAGACGTGCACCAGGAGATGAATGAGCTAAGAGATCAGAAAAGATTGTTAGAAGAGAGATTGAACAGTACAGAAACTGCGCTCACTCTACAGGTTAGTAAAAAGTGCTGCAGTTACTTCTGTTCTGGCTGGGGAAAGAAAAACTGCCCACAATATTAAACTAGATTGAAGCTAGAATTCCTCGAGGCGTTTATGCTAAATATAGCACACTTGCGCACCTTGGAGCGGTTTTCATTTTAGCGTCGAAAAGCAATTGGTTTTGCCACTACACTACACGATTGGCTTAAAAAACTGACGCCACTTGTCCATCCAATCAGAAGTAAAACTAAAACCAATCGTGACTTACTCGCACGCGTATTCCCACGTTTTGAGTTAGCTACATGTTATTCCTTCGAGTTTTGATTGGTTCATTGTATTACCTGTGTTCTTTGTGATTGGCTAGAGTGATTACTTTGGTTTTGATTTTACGACACTCAATCGGAAACCGCTCTACTCAGTTCTTTAAATACGTTTAGGCAAAATATGGGGATAACTAGCAAAATGCTGGGGATGTAATCGACAAGTATTATGAGTCTAATATACATGTATGTAAAAGTAAAATGCTCTTGAACGTGGAGTAAAGCGTTAGATGAAACACATTCCAAGCTACAAAATGATAATCAAACCACTATTTTTGGTTGCCAATTCCCAGGAAGAAGCGATACAGAAAACTGAGCGAGAACGAAATGGACTAGATGAAAAACTACAAATGCTAGAGAGTACTTTGAGCCTGTCAGAGAATGAACGAAAGCAACAGCAAGAAAAGATAAGGGAACTTCAGGATACCGAGAAAAGAATGAAAAGCGAAAAACACGCATTGCGGACCCAACTGGAGGCTTCATCGAGGGAAATGACGAAGAATGAGTTGAGGCTTAAATCACTGGATGGCGAATTACAAAGGCAGAAACGAGTGCAAAATGACATGGACGCCGAAAACAAAGAGTTAAGAGAAAGGTTGAGCGGTGCGCTAAAGGTTAATCAAGAATTAGAAAACCATATCTCCAGTTTAAACCTCGCAATACAGAAGCTTAACAGCGCTGTGTCAAAAGGCGAGGCGGAAGAAACAAGGCTTAAAGAAAAGATCCAGGCACTTTCTGTTTCTTTGAGTGAAAGCAACAGCAGCTCACATAATTTACAAGAACACATTAATCAGCTTCAGCGTTCCCTGGAAAGCACAGAAGGTGACAAGCGATTGCAACAAGAGAGAGTTGGAGCACTCAGGGAGACTGTCAAAGATTGTAAGAACGAAAACCGCGCTTTGGCTGAAAAAGTCGATTTCTTGGAGAAAACGAGAGAGGACGCTGAGCTTCGTATTAATGACTTTGAAAATCAAGTCAAACACGTAAAAAGTCTCTTGATTCAGCGACAAGAGCGCGAAGATGAACTTCTGAAAAAACTGCAAGATCTTGAAGAGGAAAGTAATGCCCTTAAAAGCGAAAACACTTCTTTACACAAGATGAATTCCTCATTTGAGGTCGAAAAGAGAGATTTAGAAAAGAGCAATTTGCGTATTGGCAAAGATGTCCAGGTGCTTAAAAAGACGCTGGATAGACTACAGAGAGAACGATTAGAGTTTGAAGAATCATTCTTCGAGTCAAATCAAGAAAAAGAGGCTTTAAATAGAACGCTTGGCGAGGCAGCAAAGGAAAACATAGAGTTGAAGGAGAGAGTAGATTCTTTACAAAGAGCACTTCAAGAAGCCCAAGCCAAGCACACTGAAAGGTATGTCAGTCAATACGTCAAATGAGTCAGTCAGTTCGCGAACAATTTCCGATCGACCGTCAATGCAGGTCAGTCAGTTGGAGTCTGATTAACAGACAGACAGAAAAGACACGGCAGACAAACGTAAGTCAGTCATTCAGTCACTTAGACGGTCTTTCATGCAGTCGAAATGAATCGGTCAATGGTGTGATCAGTCATCAGTTGGTCAGATAGACAGTCAGCCATGCAGCCAGCCATGCAGCCAGTCAGTCAGTCAGCCAGTCAGTAAGTGAGTCAGTGTGTCAGTGAGTCAGTCAGTAAAACAGTCAGTCAGCCAGCCAGTCAGCCGACCAGTTAGCCCGCCAGTCAGCCAGTAATTCATTCATTCAGTCAGTCAGTCAGACAGTCAGTCTCCAGTCATTCATTCATTCATTCATTCATTCATTCATTCATTCATTCATTCATTCATTCAGTCAGTCAGTCAGTCAGTGAGTCAGTCAGCGAGTCAGTGAGTCAGTGAGTCAGTCAGTCAGCCAGTCAGTCAGCCAGTCAGTCAGCCAGCCAGTCAGCCAGTCAGTCAGCCAGTCAGTCAGCCAGCCAGCCAGCCAGTCAGTCAGTTATTCAGTCAGTCAGTCATTATTACACCATTAATTTTTATCTGCGTGACGCATTACAATACAAAGTTTATTAACAAGGATATCATAGATCGTTTTACGTCGCGCCTAAACACAGACTCATCTGGACATTCCTTAAAGTGATATAATTTTTATAGCTTACTGGAGGTTACAGAGAAACAACAACAGGATTTAGAAAAAGAGGCTAAGAGGTCACACTTGGCACTGGAAAAGACACAGAAGACATCTGAGAAGCGAGAAAGAGCGTACAAGGCAAAGGTGGAGGCTCTAGAGAAACAGGTAAAGACTTGAGTGTTATTTCCTGTGACAATTTCGATATTAAGGTCTGACTCCGTTCAATATTACTTTGATTTAATAGTTTAACCTAGTTGCTATTCAAATATAGAAAAACATGTTTCAATTTTACTGAGTTCCAGAATCAAAATAATTGCAAATATACTGATATAAACAATAGCCTCCATTTGGCGCGAAAATATTCTCAGATATTTGTCCACAAACTTTACGTGTTCCAGTAAGCGAACTCTGAGCTTTGAGGAACAGAAAGACAGATAATGTCCAAGGACAAATATTCGAGGATATTTTCGTGTCAAATGTTTTGAAAATTGAGGAATTTCACTGGGATATTCCTAGTCAGTCAAGTGATCTGCATGACACGTTTAGACCGATAGCGCGTGAGCGAAAATACTTGATGGATTATAAGACCTTTATTAGGGTAGCTGCCAATTGCAACAACTTGTAGCTTGTGGTTGAACATAATAGCCAAGTCTCTTTAATGTATTATCTAATATCGTGATTGCGGTTTCCACTAAGTCGTGTTAATCGATGTTTTAGATTGCTGTCCTCAAAAGAGAGCTTCAAACTGAGAGAGAAGAGAAGGCAATGGAATCTAATAAGGTTGCAATCAAAAGCGATGAAATAAGAGAGGTCCGACAGTCCTTAGGAAAGTCACTCCAAGCAGTTGAGGAGGACGCAAACAATCTTCGGAGTATGCTCGGAAAATCACTTCGGAAGATCGATCGGTATACGGAAGCTGTCCGACGAAACGAGATACCACCTCCGTCAACTGACACAGACGGATCAACGGTTGACGCACATCCTCGTCAACAAATCGATCAATCATCGGAAGAGGCGAAGTATCTCCGGTCATCGAAGAGACGTACGAGGTCGGCCTCACACATGAACTTGAAAGAGCGCAGCAAGACTCATGGAGTGTCATCTTCGAATCGCACGCCCTCGTCGGATGTCATCGGGCATAGCTCGAAAATGGATCACGAAGATATGACACTAGAATTTGCACCCGAAATTCAATCCCCACTGAGAAGATATAGGAGATCAAGGAAGTCTGCAAATTGATCAGCAGTGGAGATTAACTTGCGATCAGACGTTCTGTCTAGCGCGTGAACAAAACAAAAAAACATAAAAACAGAACGCCTGATCGCATGATAGTGTGGATATTGCATTACCATTAGAACTCGTATAAAGGTACAAGCTTATTTGTGCCCCCAGCCTGCCAAGATGACGTTAAAAAGTGGGAGGCCAAAAATAGATATTAGAGATTCTCGTAAATCAGGTCCGCGCGAATATTTATTAGAGTAGAATAAGTGTGAGCTGCACGATTGAAGAGTGGATATCGCCTTGATGAAACACAAAATTCTCAAAACGTTTCATTTAATAAATAAATAGGAATAGATGGGCAGAATATATATGTCGAGTATGGTTAACTTGGCAAAGCAAATTTCAAGTTATGTTGCTACACTAGTGTGTAAATACTACAGGCAGTCATAAGTCTTGTTTTTTTTTTCTTGTTCACATACGTTGTATTATATTTAAGAGTGTGACAGTCTGAATATTGCTCTTATATTGATGGATTAAAGATGAGGTGAAATAATTAACGACGCAGCGCACCTTTTACAGAACTACGTAATGTACTAGCCGTACGTTTAGGACTTTTTTTATTACATAATCAGATTTTTGTCGCATAGGTTATGATAGGTTCTATAAGACCTGTTATCACCTCAGTATCAAAAATCTCATAGTTAGTGACTTGGTAATTAGTTTTGTGGAACTCAGGCCAATTTTTCGACCAATCATGACTGCCTGACACATGTCGCCCTAGGCTTCCACCCCTGCTATCCGGCTTGGATTGCGTCGATAAGGTGTCTATCCTCTCAATTTGTGATGGCTAGATTCTGTCTTACAACTCGCTTTTAAACCATTCTACTGTCTACAGACAGTCTTGAAGCGTAAGGCGCAAGAAAAACAAAGTACTTTAACATATCTTATTTCCTTGCAATGGCGCCCTTGTTAGTTTATGCATCATTTATGACCGCTTTGTAAGGGGAGGGGACGGGAGGGTTTTTACTCCGATTTAAATATATATAGAAGTAACTGTTATGAAAAGTACGCATCTGATCAAGCGTCCCTGCATTGTATAACGAGTGTAGTGTGCCTCAATTAAACATTAAACCAATAAAGAGGAATTCATATTTCCATGGACTCCATCGACCTCATCAGTGCGATTTATAAGCTTTTTTTTTTTACTGAATGAGAAATACATACCTCTTGGACACCGTATAGTTAGAGATTGTTTCACTGAGCTAAATATGTGTAACTTAGCCCAATATTTCACCTTCACCTGTCCCCTGGCGCCAAGTTAGCGCATAGGGCAGCCCAATATTTCGGTTAAACGAAATTCGGCTAAAATTCACATGTTTTATTAGCCTTGCTTGTTTTAAATACATTTACATGTATCGTCCATTGTTATTGTGCAACATACATTTTGCATCGTTAACTCCGGAAAGACGCTTTCGGTACTATGGTCCAATTTCAACATTCTTAATTCTCTAAAAACTTTAAGCAGCCGCACGACCATGATTTCTACATCATTTCATCTTTTCGACCTATCGATGAATCTCACAAGCTAATTATGTTGACAAACGATTGTCTGCTTATCCAAACATGACAAGTATTTAATTTTCTGCGCCTTCCGCTATCTTTGTTGTCAGCGCAACTCCAAGGCAACCAACCATCCCTGTAGGAATCTTATCGGATTTCATGTACAATTTGAAGCCGACATTACAAAGTTTGTGGTCCTGCAACAAATTTCAACTTTGAAGCAAATTTTAAAGTTGCTACACTAGCGAAACGATTTGGAACAAAGGCTGTTGTCCGCATTGAATGAACACGCGTGGTAGCCAATTGAGCCCAAACAAAATGGCCGATATTGTTGTCAGAAATGGCTATAACGGCTTCGGCAACACCAAAAAACTCAATTCAAAGAGCCAAGGAAAGCATTCTTCGTTCAGCAGCAGATTAATGGACAGATTACCACCATTAGAAAGCGGCAAGGCAAGCAAAAGTATTTTGTTTTCCGATAAAGAAAGACCGACGTCTCCTTCCTTACAGCCTTCGGTTTCGGATTACGACACTGCAGACATTGTTATTCTTCTCGATGATGAAGTGAAGCGAATTCGCCAATTGAGTATTAACCTGGGAATAAGCCATCACTACGAAATAACTCAATATAACAACCGATTTCACAGCCAAAAACCATGGCGGTTACCCAAGATGGAGAATTCAAAATGTTGGAGGCAGAGTCACAACTGGACTAAGCGAATGGACGATATTAGCAGACTTGACCTTCGGCGAGATGTCGCAACGTTTGATTTCGCCGGCACTGGAAAATTAAGCGTGGACTTAAAAAGTTTGCCGAGGGGACGAAAGAAATTACTTGAACCTGTGGATATACCAACGTTAGGCTGTTCGTATAGATTGCCGGTCCTTAAAAGAGACAAGCAAAAACACATTAGTTAAAGGTCCATTTAATTGCATATATTTATTAAGCTTATTACGTTGCTTACGTGTAAAGGAACAATTTGATCAATGTCATGATTGTTCTTGTTGCGATGAATATAAAGTATAATACAGTTCACAAATGTAGCTTAGCGTCGCTTCATTCACTGACATCCTGTGCCCATTTGCATGCTTTTTTCAAAAACATTTATGCATCAAACAATACTGATTCCAATATCGAGTTCGTTGTGTCTTTGACGTACAATATATCCATGGTTTTCACAACTGGGAGTTCAAATGAAAAAGAATACAAATTTAAACCGACCATGCCAGGACAGAGATTGCACAGACCCCCTGAGATATGTGCAGCCCAAAGAAATTCTGTTTTACAGCTTGCTGAGTTGCGATGGACACGATTCAGTATGCGTGCGAGAGGAAATCAGTGAAGCTTTAGAGATTCATTAGCCTAAAGCAAAAGTGAACGAAAGTTTAGTGAGAGAACTCAAAAGCTTCACGGTTTGATCCCGATCAGAATTAACGGTAGTAAACAGTCAAATGATTATTTGACTTGAACATATCCGATCTGTAGGTTGTTTGTTTACTGAATTTTCGGTGGCAACTGTCCACCTTCATCAGAGTGAAAAAAAGATGTTCCTTGTAACATAGCTCGCGTTTTACGTGCTGGAACACGTATGCAGAGTTAAAACTGGAAACAAAGGAGTATAAGCGCGAGGAAAGACTTTTCTTTCATTCACCGCGTTTGCGTCCATCGTTAAGCGCCACTACACTAAAAAGAGTCAAATAATTTACTTATATAAAGAGCTGAAACAGATCACAGAAGATAAACTTCAAAATCCAGACTTTCGCTAATGTTTCCTTCTTCTCTGAATTCTCTGGCTAAACTGATGAATGTGGAGTTCAGCAGCGCCCTTTTCTTCCTCTTATAAGGCTGCACACCTTAGAGCATATCGCGACATACGCCTGGCGAAAATCTGGCATCCTAAGAGTGTAAATCAGAAAGTTCATGGATGAGTTTGACAAAGCCACAGTCCTGATCCACATGTGTGCAGTTCGGCTTGCGGCCTGACCAATGTTTCACCAGCGGCGAAAAAGGAGATCATCAGCGGAAACCAACAAGCGGTGAATATGCTAATCACAATGGCCAGCGTAAAGGCGACGCGGATTTCAACGCTTGACTGATTGGCATTTCCAGATGAGTGAGCTCTAAGTTTATTCCTTTGCTTCCGACGCTTGACCAGAAATGCCACGAGCAACGAGTAAAACACGACAATGATAGCATACATGAAGGTGAACGCTCCAACCGCCAACAGGGCTTTGGGAAATGAGTCAGGAATGGAGACACTTAGGATAGGAACTGTAAATGGGAATAGCCAAGACGCTGTAAGCATAATCTTTAATCCACGGCTTTCCATGATGCTCTTGTAGCGTAGAGGGTACACGACAGAAATAAAACGATCAACACTGATGGCCGCCATGTGAGCCACTGAAGCAAAACACGACACTCTAGATAATGTTTTGTAGATTCGTTCTACATTTGCGGCACAGTCATTAAAGAATGTTATCTTGCCGAGGATTGCAACCAGGAGAGGTTCACACACCATGGTGACGAGCAAATCAGCGATCGCCGAGCTGAACAGAAGGTAGTTTAATGATCGGCGAAGACGGGGTTTGTAGCAACTGCCACACAAACTAGTAAGTTGCTAAATGTTCCAAACACACTCAAGACAGCATTCGTTGTGATGAGAGCGACGCCCATGAGCCAGTGGAAGAGAACAGTCGCCTCCAGAAAAATTGCTAAATGTGTAATTCATTGCAGAAGGCTCTGTCCTCATGAGCATCCGTGAGGATAGGGATAACAAGGCATAAACGTCATTCTGATTTGTGTTCCGCTGAAATGCTCACATCAACTGAATAAAGTGTGAAAAGGTGGTCAAACTTAATATGCGGAAAAATACAACTGAGTCATTATGAGATGCTGAAAATTGTTGGGGAAAAAAATTATTCTTGTTCTTTTTTGTTGACAAGGTTTTGAAATTTTCCCTCTTTGTGCTTGGTTTTGCTTTTAGACCGAGAGCTTTTACGGTAAACAACAAGCCACAATTGCAGACTGCGTACTTCACGTACACGCTATTTTTAACAGCTACTTACGTTTCAAAGAATGTTATTTGAAAGAAATTCATCCTTAGTTTGAGGTGTAATATTTTCATGGTAGATTGAAATGAGGTTCAAACAAGAGAGAAAACAAGAAAGCGGGACGCAAAAATGCAACTGAATTTGCATCTCAGCAATAAAACCCGACCCAGTCGATGTTACTTACAGCTTGTATGCAGTACGTGAGCAAGAGAGATCACTAAGAGCTTTATTAAGAGCGTGCGTGCGTTTGAGTCCATATCACATTCCTTCTAATATCGATATTAGCTTAAGACACTGAGCACGAAAGTGAGAAAACTCAAAAGCCTGAGTGAATGCAATCAGTAGCGGATAGGTGAGCTTTCCCCCGGTTTCCGGAACCTTTCATCTTAACAAAAATTAAAAAGAAGCGTGCGGGTTAGAAGAAACCTGAAAGAGTACTTGACGGCAATCCGGATCTGTCCATTAACAAGCTCTCGCAAAAACCCGCGCTCTTTTATTTCAGTGGCATGCAGCGTTGTGCGATTAACGAAAAACGAGCTAAAACTTACTGAGAGTCTAAGCCTTTTTTTAAGGGGATCAGTGCTATGTAATGCTTGCCCCGAGAGAAATTCCCGTTGTAGGCAATATAAAGGTCGCGCGAAATCTGAAAGAAACCTGAGCCAAATGAACAAAGCGCAATGAATGACATCTTCAACCCACACATCACGTGATTTATTTCCATTCTCAACTTCACTAATAACCATCTTCATTTCCTATGTAAAACGGCCTCTTGTTTTGGGAGTGCTATTCTAATTGTATATTACAACTGAATTAAAAAAAAAATGAGACTAAAGAAAATAATTAATGTCGTTAAATCTACCAGAGGTTCTAGTTAGGAATTGAACAAAGGAAAAACGGCTTAGGAATGATAATAATTAAAAGCTCTATTAGCTTCTATTGCAGTGATAACTTGCAACTGTGTTGAAAGAGATTGAAAAATATCAAATCGAACTTGAATTATACATATATATTGACAGTAACTCCTGATATTGAAACATTAAGATTCTATAACTACTATTTACAGCTATTTGCAATGAGGAACATTAAGAACCTTGGATCCTCTAGACTGAATTTAACAGCTAAATGCTTAAATATTAGTGGAAGGAGGAGGTGTTGTGATCTTAGGAAAGGGCTTAGTGGACGATGTCAGGTTGTGAGTGTAATCTGCTGCCTTACTTAAGCTCAGCCGCCTACACGGTCGGTATACTTTGAGCTCTGCGCGTGAACTTTTCTACATCCTTAAGGGTTTTTTTTTATTCGCTTTATTGCTGGTGACTCTGCAGTGCCGGCTTGGTAGCTTCGGTGGCCTCATATCTGTCCTGAAAACCTACACTTGGCAATTAAAGAACCCAGGCTCTTACAAACTTCGCTTCGATCTGTCTTTTTGAATAAAGTTTAGCGGCGATATTTCTTTCCTGCGAGGCTGCACATCTTACGGCATATTGCGCCATACGCTTGGCGAAAATCTGCGATTCTTAAAGAATATATCAGAAAGTTCATGGCTGAGTTTGACAAAGCCACAGTCCTGATCCACATGTGTGCAGCTCCTTGCGGTTTGACCAATGATTTACCAGCGGCGAACAAGGCGATTACCAGCGGAAACCAACAAAGGGTGAAAACGCCGATCACTATCGCCAGCGTGAAGGCAACGTGTATTTCAACGCGGTAATTGATTTGCACGGAAAGTGTGCGAGGTGTCTGCTGGTTTCTTTCCTTCCTCAGCTTGATCAGAAATGCCACAATCAGCGCGTAAAACACCATAATGATAGCATAGCTCAGGGCGAAGGTCGCAAGCCCCAGGAAAGCCTTGGGGAAGGAGTCGGGGAGCACTGCGCTCAAGATAGGAACTGTAACGGGGAATGCCCAGGACGCTATCAGCATAATCTTCAATCCGAACTTCTCCATGAAAATTTCATGGCATAGAGGCAACCGGACGACGAGAAAACGATCAACACTGATTGCCGCCATGTGCACTACTGAGGCAGAACCCGACAGGCTGGATAACATTTTGTAAGCGTGTTCCAGGTTGGTAGCACAATCATTAGAGAAGGTTATCTTGCCGAGGATTACTACAACCAGAGGCTCACAAATCATGGTGACGATCAAGTCAGCGATCGCCAGACTGAAGAGAAGATAGTTCGATGCTCGGCGAAGACGAGAATTTGTAACAACTGCCACGCAAACCAGTAAGTTACCAAATGTTCCAAACACACCCACCGAAGTATTTGCTGTGATGAGAGCAACGCCATGAGCGACTGGCAGAGAGCAGCCTCCCTGAGAAAGGTTAGTACTGGGGTTGCTCGAGGTTTGATTCATCGCAAAGAGTCGGCACAAGACTTGCTCAACAATGAATGCAAGAAGATCATGCCGGAATAGTCATTATGTGTCGTCCTGACCACACACTTACGTCAACTGAATAAAAATATACAGAGGTACTCAAATTTAAAAGTGTGTGCGAGTGGACCGGAAGATGCCCAGTATTTTGGAATTCTAGAAGATAGCGTTTTATTGTCTCGGACGACCAATAAGTTACCGTTGAGTAAAAAAGGATTCTATTTTCATTTTCAATTGTTCTCACTGTAAACTTTACTTTGAAGTCCTTTCTTGTGGCATTTATCTGAAAAGCTTTAAGCTCTGCAAGCAGATAGCCATCGCGTGAGCTTCCCTTTGGTAATATCATTTCATTTTAAATTCTTCCTTCTATAATTTACTTATCTTCCAAATTTTCCAATAACACGTCAATTTACATGGAGATCTTTCAAAAACAACAACATAATACCGTTGTCAAGGGCTGATATGGCACAATATTTTTCTGTCATACTTAAAAAAACCTTGTGTAACATTGTCACAATTCATAATATGGCCTCGCCGGTCCAACATACACGAGAATAGGTTCGTATTAATCCATGCTGTATACCTCACTGACTTATAAGTGAAATGCTGTTTATTTATCTTCATGTTATCTTTTATTTTTATCATTTTAATGACCTTTCTAGGTAGTTTGCGACCAATATTGAAGATTTGATAATAAACATGACATATTATTTATATTAGTAGCAGCAAAGTCTTCAGCTACTTCCAAGCCTCCCCAAGTTTTTCGTATGTATAAATTTCCGTAATGGACTACTTAGCTTTCTTTTGATGCACATGCATGTCCATCAAATGTCAAGGCAGTTTTTTTCATGCACCTGTCTCGTTAACCCGTAAGGTGTCATGGAAGGAGCCTTTAACCTTTTCACGGCGCTGTGTGACCACCGAATCCATCCGCTTTCTTCTCTTGATAATCCGCGCTTTCTTTCCTCCTCATACAGCTCCAAAACAATTGCTCTTTCGTTGACCAAGTGTCCATGTTTTATATTTAGATGTGTTGTAGTCTTAGATAGAAGTGGTAAAAGTTGGACACTTTCTCCCGTGACAGATAAACGGCTTTTACAATGAAACAGACTTCCTTTTTCTGTATTTGAAGTTTTACATAGCGGGCTTTGTGGTCCATTTCCGCGAGATATTGTGCGTAAATTTTTGTGATTGCTCATGAAGCTGATCCGTGACATCAAAATCCACTCTTGTACAGTTTCTGTTCAAAGTCCACAGTTGAGGTTTCCTTTGTACGGCCCCGCGAGTTCAAAATGCCTACTCTAAAACTCTAATTTTAATTTCTGTTGATGTACCAGTGGTTGATTTGACCAAAAGCAATCTGCATATGTCAAGAGAAAAGTTTGCTTCGCCCAAAGTAAACTGTATTTGCAGTATCAACAATGCATTTGTTACCTTTGGGACGTAACACTGACAATCATTTCACGGCGATTTGTTGCTGTTGAGGTTGGTTTTCACTTTTGCGTAAGCATAAGCGGAAGATCCATAGGCAGAAGGTTGATAATTAGCACTTTTTGTTAGGAGCACCTGCTAACAGCCTGTTTATAGTGGTCACACGAGAGCAATTGTTGCCTTCAGTGACGGACAGCCTGGTATTCTCGATGTAATCTGTTTTAACAAATTATCATCTAAACCTTTATTTCATGGCAAAACTGCCGTTTTAACTAAGAAAAACACGCAGTGACACAGGCCAGGGCTCCAAACGGGCGGAGCGCTCGATCTTGACTCCAGCGTACCGGCTGGTGCATTATAGTGTAAGTTACTTGTTTACTGCTCATATCTAGAGCAGGAAAAAAAATTACAACAGCGACAGCAACTGTTTTAGGTCCACATCTCACTAAACCAGCTCTAGATTCATAGTTCATTAATTCAGAGGTTATCACTTCATGTAAGATCCTATATTTTTCTTGTTTCAGTTCGCATGGTTCAAAACCACAAAGCCGGGTAGAATGTATAAACCCGTACGAAGTTGCTACAACACTGCCTCGCATATAAGGTGAAGGTGAACTCTAACGTAAATTTTACATGTTAAATGGTTAGTCGCAGTTCTAAGGCTTAGCCTGATAGCATGAATTCGCGATGAATTTTGTTCTCCGGCCTAATGATTCATTCGGGTCTTGGTAAGCTCTTGTTAGGCTCTTGATAACATATCTACACTGACATCAGTGTAACTGTCAACTGATACGGTAACAACAGTTGTCCCAGAATATTGACACTGGCATGAAGAAGTATTGGTACAACCAATATGGCCGCCACGCCTTTCACCGGGCTCTCTCAGTTCACTGAAAGATTAATCAAAGACTCATTTATACCCTTACTTATAAAATCATAGTTCAGTCCTGGGATTACTATTGACGCTGAATCACAGGCTAGTTTTTCCTGTGAACGTCCCAGTTTTTCTTAGGTCTATTTGGATTTCCACAGAAATCAACATGTGGGATTTGTGCAGAGTATAATCAAATTTGTTGAATTTTTTGTTGTAATAAAGCGTAATAGCACGTGTGCATACATACCTATGACACAGCTGTCTATCAACCTTTTTCTAACGAAATAACGTAAATGAAAAACGAGATAGTTAAAGGCAAAATGAAAATTTAAGGTAAAGAAAAGAACAAACGAGGGAGTACACTTGAAAAGTCACTTCTTGCCAGAGTCAAAATTTACAGGCTACTAAACTAAGCAAATACAGTCCTTATTATGTTTTATTGTGCCATTTGTCACCATCAATTACAACACATCTGTAAGTATAAGTTTAACTTGAAGTGGACTGAGTGGATTATCTAGTAATTACTTCACACGTAAAAAGATGACATGTCCATTTTCACCCTTAATTGTTCGGACGATACAAGAAACGGACATCTTGGATTAGACGACATTCGTGTATCATTTTGACTACGTTGTACTTTAAAGCCCCGCAAACCTGAGTGTCTTTTGAAATATCTCAATGTAAGTGTCAGTAAAATTACGCATTCTCGAGCCATAGATAATAAAGTTCATAGCGGAGTTTGACAGTGCCAGGGTCCTGATCCACATGTGCGTAGTTCCGTGAATCTTGACCAGCGGTTTGCCAGCGACCGCGAAGACAACGAACAACGGAAACCAACAAGCAGTGAAAACGACGACCACAATCGCCAGGGTAACAGCTACACGGGTTTCACGGCGTGAATTGGTATCGGCAGGAGAGGTGGCATTGATCTGGCTTACTCGTTTCCTTTGTTTGACCAGTGATATTAGAATCACTGTGTATGACACGAAAACAATACCATAAAACAAGATAAATACTCCTAGGCTGACGAAAGCTTTCACTGAAACAGGCGCGGGAACAAACCTACTTAGGAAAAGAATTCCCACGGGCAATGTCCAACACACAACAAGCATGGATTTCCACCCAAAGTTTTCCATGATGCCTCTATGACGAAGAGGACAAACGACTGCAAGGAGACGATCAACACTGATGGCCGACAAGTGCACCACGGAGGCAGACGCTGAAAAATTGGAGACAATGAAATAGACTCGTTCCATATTATCTGCACAGACGTCTTGAAATGTCCTCTTAGTGAAGATTGCTACGACGAGAGGTTCGCACAACATGGTGACGATCAAATCAGCGATCGCCAAGCTGAACAGAAGGTAGTTTGGGAATCGGCGAAGTCGTGGACTTGTAACGACCGCCACGCAAACCAGTAAGTTGCCAAGTGTTCCAAACACACCCACGATAGAATTCACTGTGATAAGAGCGACGCCATGAGCTAATGGAAGAGAACAGTCTTTTGTTGAGAGGTTGTAAGACGGCTCACTTGGTGTGTAGTTCATGGCTGACGCTCGTCACTTTTCTGATCAGCAGTGATTTGAGTCCAGTATCAGTCTAACATCTTTGCTTTGATTAACAAAAATCCGTGCAAGCCACTCTCAGCCGTCAGTATAAACCTTTCAGCTGCTGTTTAATTTTAGATGAGCATTCCAAAACAAATTAAAGGTATTGAATTTTCTCCTTGACAATATGTCATTTGAAGGAAGGGACAATGCTTAAGCTTCACTTCCTTTCTAACTATCCCTACAGAAATAATCTCAAACAATGCGGTCAAAAAAGGTTCTAAATCATTATCTTATATAAATACCAGTCCTGCTACTGACATTTAAAAACAACACTTAATTTTAGCCTTTACTTAGGCGGTATGACGTCAATAGGAAATCACATAAAACTCCATACATGGTCTTCATTCCTTCAAACCAACAATCCCAGTCCTAACCAGTCGGGATTATTGTTGAGCATTATAGCTGTGAAGTATACAGCTCAACAACTCGCCGAGTTGATATTCGTGAGGGAAGATTACATAATGAATACCACTCGTTAATTAAAAGGACTTTGAATCAGTGTCACAGTTTAGAGTTATATTCGCAGTTATTTTATCCAACCGTAGGTTTTTCGAGGTTTTGGTGCACGGTTTGATGTATGAGCGGAAACCGACCGTATGTTTTTATCAGGAAATGTCTCTAATTCTTTACCGAGCGTATCAATACAAAGCATGCCACTAGATAATTCGTTTTTAAGAGCGACACTTGTTTCTCAATTACAGTTGACAAATTTTAAGATAGCTTTCTTACTTCCCTTTGAACAAAAGATTGTTCTTTTCCGTGGCGTTGAATTGATCTCAATAAATTCTATCGTGGGTGTGTTCGAAACACTTGGCAACTTACTGGCGTGGCAGTTGTCACAAATCCCTATCTTCACCGATCATCAAATTACCTGCCTACCTACCGATTTGCTCGTCATCATATACATACACAGGTGCCTTGTTTCTCATAAAAAATCTTTTTCGGTTGACACAACAATAATGGCATCGAACAAACGCTCAATCAGACTGGTGAACAAGCTCTGGTGATTTTACAAATTACAACTGCAATGGTATAAGTTGATGATGAACGCTCGCTTAATTTTAGCTTGATGGGCTTATAACTTAAAAACGAGTACGTGACCCATTTTTCATCATCGAATTGTAATTAACATGTCAAGATTAAACTTTTTGCCAAGTTAAAAAAATACAGTTGGAAGTGGATTCTGAGCCACCTTGAATTTTCGAAAATTTAACAAAAAAAAGCATCGACTAAAAACAAGACGGCGATCGTCGTCTTGTGCAAAAAGAAGAGTTCAAAAACGCAGGATTCTATCATTAGTCCCGCCAGAGTTTTTATTTCAGAGCCGTTCTTGCCCATTGGATACCCAGAGATGTAGAAGATTTTGCATTTTCCACAGTTTTTCCTGTCAGTCTAAGTCATGAAGGAAGATGATAGCAAGCAAAACAAAAACAGAGATAAAGACCACTTACGATTATATTTGCAGTTATTTCGTGATCGATTCAGTGATAAAGTTGGCGAGCAGAAGCATAGTCGGAAAAAAAACAGTGTAGGCATCAGCTGTGCTCTTTTAACAAAACTCAAGCAAGCAATAGCAAACACAACTAATAAAGGATCACTTAAAGTCTAATTGGTTTGATTTGACAAACGATCACATCAATCATCCAGAACTCAAATATTTGTGATCGGTTGACGCAGCTGAGGAGCCCAAGTGACAAGGAGAAACTCTCCTCGTGACTTATGCTTTTACCTGCGAGGCGTTATCTTTTTCGCCGAAAAAAAAAGAACGCGTTATGACAGGTTACTTATGCACCAGTCATTTAATACCCCCTTTTCTCGGGTTTTAGCTTGTCATTCAAGTTTTATGCAAGTGAAGGCCAGTGGAGTCGATCCATGTCCCTCAGGGTAAAACCAAATGGTGAACCTCTCCAACCCAAGAATGTCCCACACGCGGTACTCTCTCTTTTGGATTATCGAGCCTTTGTTTTTGGAAAATATATATGTAATCTTAATCTATAAATTAAGGAAATTCAGTTGATCACTTGCGATTCGTTATTTTTTTTTTTTTCTGACATCTTACAGCTTTTTTGATCCACGAAAGAGAGTTGAGAAAGAATTATTTCGTCAACATCTAGTTGCAACTAGATGTTGGAACGAAAGTAACATATAGTAAAGTTACTATGCGGTGAGAAAATGACCCCTTGGCCTTACCATAAGAGAGCAAAGGAACCAAAACGGAGTGAATATGAATGTTGATTATACTTCAGTATGTATTCTATGAAGCGCGCAATTCTATTTTTTAATTGTGTCATTACTGACCACTGTCAAAACTTCACATCATTTTTAAAGTTATAAATAGGACGGAATCTTTACGAAGAGTGGTTCAGAAAACATTTATACTATTGTCATAACTAATTTAACTGCTAGAACTTCCTTTTGACAACTTCGAGAACATGGCACCTGTGTTTATTAACCTAGAATAAATCTGTGTAACAGTGCTTTTAACGATGATTACTCTGTTAAAAGGATCTAGATTTGCTTTTACACTTGAATCTGCGTCATTGAAGTCTTGTCATTTTTTGTTTTCTTTTTTCACTCGAATTTCGACCGATTCCTAAAATAAAATAATACTCTCCTTCAAAGGAAACTTGTTTTGCTCTTGTTTTATAAGGAGACTATTCCTCTACGCCTTAGCTATGTCTAGTCTGTTGATTTAGTCGCAAATGTTTCGGGAATGAAATGCCATCTTCCAGCTTCCCTAATGCTGCGTGTGAGTTCAGCTGCAAGTCGTCAGCTCTTACTCCTTTGTTTGTGCACACGAATCTTTGCACGTCCACAGTAGTGTATAGAACAGTCAGAGGGAAAATCGAAGTAAATGTTCTTACAGCTTGTTTGAACCGAGCATTCCTGTGTGCTGAATGAGGACTGAATATAACTGTTAAATTTCAATCTAATATTAATTAGCTATTAGCTGTGAAGACTCTACGCACTTTCCTCTTTGTTTATTCAGACGTGCGGAATCGCACTCAGTGGCCTTGACGTAATTTTCCCTGAATAAACTTGGCAATTAAACAAAACGTGATTAACAAATTATACGAGAAGCTTGGGAGTCTTTATTCAATTTGACAGTTTCACAACCACAAACAAACAATTCTACCGAATAATGCTAGTTGTTTCTCAAGAAGGAGAAGACCATTCTTGTCCCGTATCGAAGGCGAGAGGTGAGAATCGGAGAAGTTGATTTATCGCCTGCCCTAACGCCTTCTCCAGCTTGTGTTAATTTTCTCTTCTGTTCCTATAGTTCAGCTCTTTGTTTTCGCTCTGTACCTCTGAGATTCACAAAAGTAATTTAGATTTCTGTTAAGTTCTACAATATTTTTCTGTCTGCTCGAAATATTGGGCAAAATAATGTAGGAAAAACACTCGACCGAAAAGTCACTATTCAGTCATATTCATACAGTTATCACCAAAAGCGACTATTGGTTGCTGGTTAAATGCATTTTTCAGCCATTTTGTTACTATTTTTTAAGTAGAACATTTAGAAAATTCAGTAATTTAATTCATTTGTGCTCAAATACTAAAAACCTCACTGCTTTAGTTGAAAAGATTGCAGTCAAGGTTCCTCCAAAAGGTAACTTCAAAAAACATGTATAATTTATCACTTTGATACTTAATAAGGCTTCTGGGCAGGGTTTTTCGAAAGCCGGTTAACGCTAACCCAAGATTAAAAGTAAACCAAAGTATTAATTTTTCTTTTATAGCAATGTTTTTCACTGAAGATGTCTTGTGCAGTTTGAGAATATTCAAAATCAAAACTGAAGGACAAACAATATAAACAGAAAAGCTCACCGAAAACTAACAAAACTAATATCAAAATTCTCTCTAATCCTGGGTTAGTTTACACGAGCTAAAAACCCGGCGCTGGTCGACGTCTCTAACTAACCCTCTAATTGTTGGTTACAATCAAGATAAAAGCCTTTAAATCAGTACTCTCTTTTACCAAATTGAAAGTCTCTTCCTAGCGACGAGAATTTCATCTCCAAAAGAGGTAACATCAGCAGGAATACAGAGAATATAAACACAGTCAAAATACGCGATAGGTGAAGTTAGACGTTTCCGCTATTTTCTATAGCTTTTGTTGAGTAAGCTGTTAAAATTCCTGGATGAATAAGGCTGTTCCGAATTTTTTACATTATTTATTATTCTTAAATTTAAGAAATGTCGGTATTTTTGACTGACTGACGAAATTCTCTGTGTTTTTGAAAAATGCCGGCTGATCTGAACTGTGTGCCAGTGACTTGAGGGTGGTAAAGGGGGGGGGGGGGGNGGGGGGGGGGGGGGGGGGGTATAGATCACGTTTCACGGAAATAAAGCAGCCCTTTCACAGTTCACGAAAATACAAGATTGGCATTTCACGCTTCACGGAAAATAAAAGAGAACGTTTTGGAAAATCACGGTTCACGGCGACTATGGAAATCACGATTCACGAGGAAAAAATTAGCCATTTCACATTTCACGGGGGAAAAAAAAAGGCCGATCACGAGTCACGAACATACCCTTTACCACCCTCTGACTTGTTTCTTGGAGACTACTTCCTTTGGACGACAGCGAAGTAATCAGTATCGGAAACGAAAACTTGCTTTTCAGCTGTAATTCCAAACAGCGAAAAGCTGATGAACGCTTGAGGCCGAGTGATGGCCGGAAATCAGGAACACCAACTTAAAGCATGCGTTGGTGTTACACATGGATGACAGAACTATTTACAGACATTAGAAAACTTTGCACAATTTTCAATCAATGCAGGTTTTAAAGTGGCACTACAAAGTAATTATGTATTACTTTGCGAACTTTCATCAACACAATAAACAAGTGTACGATGTCACCAAGTTGTCACTATAACTAGAAATGTGTTTAACTTGATCTCAGAACAAATCCCTCGGAATCTTGACCAAGTCACCGAGTAGAAACATTCATCCGCCCGGACCAGGATAAAACTTATTCCTTCATTGAATATTGACTTCAAATTAAGGTAATTCCTCTGAAATAAAAGTGACAATAGATTTTTGTTCAAACTTTGTCCACTGAAAATTTGTCATATGATAACTTCAATTTTGAAAAAAAA